TTGTGGATTACCGAAACTTGCGAATTTTAAAGCCTGACGGTATGATTCATGGCATTGGATTCCTCCTATCTCGGCTTCTGGATGGTAACGACGGACTCTTTCTCAGCTTGTGAGATCCCGCTTAGGGCATAAACTCTCTGTTATATATCACCTCGTCCGGTCTTCTCCTGCACTTTCTTAGTCGACTCTATGTTGATACTATCGCCAGTCCTCGTTTTTATAATTAGCCACCTTTTTTTTTTTACTTTTACTGTTTTAAATGGACTCTGCTCGTCAAAAACTGCATATTAGGAGCTCGAGCCAACAAAAGGTATGTGCTAAATGGACACGGCAGAAGCGGTAAATATACCACCTGCTATCTGCCTGCGCCTCAGGGAAGCATAAGGTCGCTTTTATTTAGTGATTAGTCCCCTGTCAGCTACCCGGAGACGCGCTGCATTGCCTCACGACTAACCGACAGAAGATCCCTCTAGGAGAGAGGTTCGTGACTCCTATATATTACTCATAACATTTCAAAAAATGTTTTGTGTTGTGCATACTGGAAGAAGATTATTAGGTTCACAGAAGATTAATTGTGATCGAAAATTGAGATGTTGTAAGGTATTACAATAGTAAACCACTCATCACTGTCTTCAAATATTTTTCCATCTTCTTTGATGTGTTCAAAAGAAGGCATCAGGGTCTGCGTCTTATCTTCGATTTCATCACGTTCTTCATTACCATCATCGATTGGAGGTCGATCGAGGCTGAAGCCGAGAATGTCGTCAGAAGAGATTATTCAAATACAGTGCTATTGGAAATATCTTCCAGTTATCAAAAAATTGTAGTGGATAAAAAACCGTCATTTTAGCATTTGCAGGACGTGTGAAGACAAATTTTTGCCTAGTGATCCTCTCCTTTTCCACTTTCAGTTGTCAGATTCGTCGTGGTTGCCGTACGAAAGGGAGCTCTTTTATACCTTTGTGATGTTTCCAATGCGATGAGTTTTCCAGATACCGAAGATATATCGTTTACGGCTGAAAAATAAAGTAACGGTGTATTTAAATCGTGGACGAATTTTACCATTTTGGAGTTCTCGTGAATTTAGCTGAGGTCGCATACGTGTTAATTAAATCAATTAAATAACTAAATACACACCACATTAGAACCGTACTAACATTTCTATAAGGTCGTCCACCCTATCGAAATGATATGAAACTTGTTTACTCTCACATCCAAAGCAACGAGTTTGGTGAGTACGGTTTATTTTTTAGATTATGGCACGGAAGGAGGTGGCGAAGGGAGAGGAACTGACACCTTTATTAAAAAATGTGAGGAAAGAAGAAGAAAAAGTTGCTGGAGAGCCGAAGCAGGCAAGGCCTGCTGTTAGGAGTCAGTCAACGGCGAAGCTGAAACCAGTGAAGGAAACAAAGCAATCTCCACGACTGCTTTCAGCACCATCGCAATCAACTCAGTCATTGAGTTTAAATGGCAAAGAATTGTGTAAGTATTTTTTTTTGTTCATTGATTAAACACGAGTTACCTATATTATTGTGTATTACTGTATTATCGTATTATTTTACGAAACTCTTGTTTGCTCATTTAAGAAGAAAAAACAATGAGTTATCGATCTATACCGGGGTTATTAACCTACAGGATTAATAGGAAGTCGGTCTTGGGATTGCGTAAGCATTCTACAGTTTAACGCCAATTTCAGAAAAGGTCTATCGCCTTATAGAATTTAACGAAACCTATAGAACAACTTATCAGAGATGACGCTCTGTAGCGCAGTAGCTAGAGCCGCCCTGCCATACACGATACACGTGTGTTCGATCCCACGCCACATGCTCACCACGCCTTATATCGTTTTGGTGTCAGCTACCTGGGAAAAAAGTAGCATTGACGGAAAGGCACCGCGAATCATTGTATAGGTCAGGTATGCATTCAATCACCTTTAACGTCTTGGTGGAGTTGAATGTTTGCCGAATCCCTCAGGGATTGATCAACGCCGAGAGCTTAGCTCTTTTTTCGTTATCGAACAAAAGGCACATTGTCATCGCTCCGTCAGCGCCACCACCTTAGTAAGCGGTGCAACGGTTCGCCAATTATATTGAAAATCGAACCGATATCACTGTGCAACCGCTGCACAGAACAAAGCTTAGCAATCGTCTCACACCTTTTATCACATTGCAGTTTTTGCTCCATTCTCGTTTTTATAGTAGTTGACTGGACAAGTTTAAATTCTTTGATTTTCTTCTCTTCACACGACCCGTCTTCCTACGCATTCTGCAGAACACATCTGTTCTTTCGATTCATTACCCACATCCATCGTCCACGAAGCTTTTCAAACTTTTCGAATGTGAGCTGGACTGCTGCTTGAGAATTTTCATTTTCACTTCTGAATGTCGTTAAAGGCTGGTCGAGCCCATTTTCCCTGAAATTTTAAGATCCTAAGATGACCGTTCTTTGGCATTTCCATGTAGATTTAATGGACTAAGTTGATTTCAAAGATGACCGGCGCAAATATACCGAACACCCAAAGATGGTATGTAATCTGGCCCAGTACGGTCTTGTAATGATTAGCACCAATAATTCTACGCCACTCTCTTTGCTTCGTCTTATTAATAGTGTTAAATATTCTTTTACGAATTTGACGGTGATATGATTTTCAGACCGACCTGAACAAATAAAAGTGCTCCGCCTCGATGAAATCATGGAGGATTCAAACTCTCAGTCAAGTTCAAAAGCTAAGTAAGGTATAAGATGTTATAGAAGTAGAACTTCATAAGCGAACTCTTGTTTTTCTAATAAACAAGAGCTTCTGCTTACAGAATTATTGCGCCTAAAGAGAAGGTGCGCAAGGAGGTTTATGCAGCAGACAATGTCGCTCAAAAAGCAATACTTGACCAGGTTTGTTATTATTTGAAATTCTCTGGCCTTAAAAAACAACAAATTCACGGTTTGTTGACGGTGAATCAGAAAAAGTTTATAATCTACTTAAAATAGTTTCTTCCCATACTGTATACTGATGCCGGATTTCAAGCAAATAATAACGTACTCTTTCACGGATTTGTGGACGTTCCTGGAGAAATAATTTCGAGAGCCTCCTAGTTAACAACCGTGGAACACCACATTCACAGTTATAGACTTAGGGAATACGGGAAACCACTTTCCATCTGCATTTAGAATGTTCCTGAGAAAGGATTCTAACAATTTTAAATTACACTCAAAATATCATGGAAGCCCATGCACTACCATAGATTGTGGCTGCAAGCCAACAGAATAAAGGATAAGAGCATAAAACTCGCAGCGTTGATCTATCCACAGGATATGCACCATGCATTCGACTTCAATCGTTTGAGGTCACTGAATGCAAACTTTGCCTTTACAACTCGTGGTGGCCCATCAATGTACCGAGTAAGTCCTGCTACCCTCTCAGACAAGTCTGGTACCAATTTGACGACCCCGAACAGATGGAAGACTTGGTGTGTCATGGGCACGGGGATCGATCTCTCGTGTAATGAAGGACGCCTCCGACAACTAAGCTAAAGGTGCTCCTCATTGAACGGAAAGAAAGGAAGGAATTTTGGAGACCGCTCGAAGTGAGATGACGTCAGTCTGAAGATTCCAATAACTACAGTCTATGTAAAACTTGCAATCACCTCAATACACAACGAATATTAGTTTAGTTTCCTTAATGTTGCTTTTTACTTTCAAAGGTCTATTGCTTCATCGTCCCCGACAGATCGTCTCGGTTTTTGGAGTGCGATATATAACGGAGTTTATGCCCTAAGCAGGATCTCACAAGCTGAGAAAGAGTCCGTCGTTACCATTCAGAAGCCGAGATAGGAGGAATCCAATGCCATGAATCATACCGTCAGGCTTTAAAATTCGCAAGTTTCGGTAATCCACAAGTGCAGGCGGCTGCCTGTAGTGTAGTGATGGCGTCATGAGGAAGGCTTCGGCCAGGCTGACCTCGAGACTCCATGGAACCACGTTGGCCAAACCAACAAAACTCCGGCCTTAGTTACCTGCACATTGGGTACTACTGTCTACGACGTTGGACGGTGCAACAACCGGTGGAAGACTATCAAATCTCGAGTTACATAGGACATCATAGGAGATAGACAAAACGAGCACGCCCGCGACATACCATGGTGACTGATGCACGATCTTGATGTGCACGTGTAATACCGGACCAACCTTTTCTCTCTCTGG